GATGGCTTCTTGTTCTATTAGACAGACGGACGGAGCAGGCTAAATGTCTGCAAGGGAAGAGCCACCAGAACACAAGATCGGTACAAGGCCGACAACCTACTTCGGCGCTGAGGAGTGGTGCGCATAGCGGAACAGTTAATCACGTCGGTTAAAGGAAGCGAGTCTGGCTTATGACGTAAGAAACAGGAAAAAACGCTAACAATTTGATCTTTATTCGGTGATGGAAGGCTTAAATCAATCGTAATAATTTTAGTTAAAGTCAACAATGCAACCTGGCTATCCGATATATAGAAGAACCGAATCCAACAGAACGGCATAATCAAAGAAAAAATGCAAGGTTGATTTTCGTGCGCAATGTCGGAATTGGAATGCTGATCGAGGCCGTTGCACCTATGCCTTATTTTTTGTTGCATCACGATCACTGTGAAGCGATACATGACTGAGAGGACCCAAGTGGTGAGATCAAGAATATCGATCCAGTGGTTTAAGGGTTTGATTCTAGCCCTTCGTCAGATACTCCACTCACAAGTCAGTTATGATACTAAGATTGTGATATGAAGGCCGCCTCAGGAAGCTATGCTAGTTAGAAGGCCAGTCGGTTCTCTAAATATCAACAGTCGACACCCCGGCAGCCTTACAACGACCGATGCGCGGCTGATTACTTGCCAGACGCATCAGTCGGCCTTACCTCGCAGGAAGCCTCAGCTTACTAAAAATGGTGTTATTCAGAGGAAAAGAAACAAAATTACTGTAGATTTGAAGAAGGAAATCATAGCAAATTTCAGGGTTAATTTTACTTCCATTATTTTAGATGGGAAAATTCGTTTCACATGGCGATCTCGGCGCCCTTGGCATACGGTGGACTTTAGCGGACTGGACGGTCGAATTGTCGATGAATAATGCCGTGCCGTGCCGTGTTGTAGACACGATCTGTAGGCAAAAGGCTGGGCTAGGACTAGAGGCTACAGAATTGTGTACATCGTAATGGGGAAGCGTTTCGAATTAACGCAACTGTTATATATGTTCCCTTCTACTCCGCTACCTCAATATCGTTCCCAGGTGTATGTGTGAACTGACGGACCAGT